ATATATATATATATATATATATATATATATAAGTCCACTTGAATGTATGCGAATGTTTGTTAGGCTAGTATAATAGGCCTAACAAATAATAGTATAATAGGCCAGTTAGGCCAGGTGAAAGTTCCCCTATTATCAGTTAAAAAACTGCCTCAAGAATGGCCTCATCTGATTTATAATTTTCTGTGTATCTCTCAGTGCGTGAGTACTTTTCAATTTTTCAGTGCTTCTTTAAAAAGAAAGTTTGTGTTTCTACTTTATGGACGTTTTGACACTGAGAGAATGTGCTTATACTTCAAGGAAGCTAGAGAAAAATCAAATCAAACGTGAGCACGTTATATTTTGGATCATACTTCGTAAGAAATCTAATACTGACAATACAAACATTTAACATGATTCTAAACTCTCTCTCTTTACTTGTATTGACTTGTAGTATTCGTTCTTTCAAAATAATGAATTGACCAGTCGCCACAGTTTCAAATAGCAGTCACTTGCCAAATAACTTACATGAGCAACATTAGAGAAAAAACATAATTTTTGTCTCTTTCTAAGCATGATGTCTGCATAATTAGCGAAGAGACTGGTGTAAAAATCGATATCAGTTGATACAGGACATGCATATTGTAGAAGCAGCTACAACAGTGGGGCACTCAGTAGAGCGAATACCTCCGCCACGCAGCATTGATTATACTCGGCTCTCAAAAAATACGAAAATGTGTTCGTATGTCCGTCGTTATCACCGGACACGAAGCATTTTTGGCAGGACAATGAGAAATAATATTTTACATATGCCCGACAATTTTTGATTGAGTTATAGAGCAAAAATAGTGTGAAAAATCGGTCCCCATGTTAACAAATAAGGATTTTTTTTTAGATTTTCGTGACCTTGAGCCTAAAAAAGAAAACAACTTATGAATTGGGTAATAGACCAAATGTATTTGGATTTAGAAACATAACCTCCGTCCGTCCACCTTCAGTAGCGGAGGTAGCTGGATAAAGTGAACTGAGGCATGTAACCTCTAAACAGTGTTTTTATGACGATTCGGGTACCAAGTTCAGAAGCCAAATAATTCAAGTGTATATTGAATATAGAACATTTATATTACTATACATTTAGCTAAACTTTCTAACTAAAATAATGCATTTTCAGTTCTGTCTATCTGATTAGTGCTGGAGGTCATTAGTTGAAAACGATAGAAACTATTTTATA